AACAGAACACCAAACATCACAGCAAGGGGTTCTTTTATCCAAAACCTCGTTACAGAAATGTGTTTCCTCACACTCCTCCATCCTCTCCAACAACCCTCCATGCACAAATTCTAACTTGTCTTTTAATTTCACCAATTTGTGATCAAATAAATATTACAACCAAAATTACCCACTGAATGCTTTTCTAATAGTTGGTAGCTTCAGTTTTATTGAAGCACAAATGCATCAAATTCAACTGATAGGAAATGTTTATTAGCAATCTGAACAACAGTATCATTAATCTGGCATGAATCAGAGGAGGAAGACATTTTTTGGCATGATTTGTGGTTTGACCGGTTCAAATGACTTCAAAGTTTGCAATGAGATGTTTAAAATGAAAAACTGAATGGAGTTTGTTCTTTGGTAAACTGTATTTTAAACGTAATCTATGAATATGTGAGTAAAATTTAAGAAGGTATACAGTTGCCGATTTATTCATGTATTTATGTTTTATAATGAGAAGTCACTAGGTCCGTTTACATAGACTTAATTTTCAGACATTCACTCATTTGWATTAAATAATGCATCACATTTTAATGTAACAAAACAGAAAGAACACATAAGAACTGTGTAACTTAGTAAGCATTTACTGTATTTACTGCGATAAAGCTTTCTCTTCAACATTATACGATCCCTCCTTTAACCTAAAATTGAGTTAGTGATGCCAGTGCCATCCTTACTTTTAGTAAGATGCTCAGTCCATTGGTCAATTAAAGGTCTTGTAATTTTAAAAACAAAAAAACAGTTAAGACTTTGGCAGCATGATTTGGTTATAGTCTTAGCTTTAAGCCTCACACCAAGTACTGTTTAATTCAACCATTTTAGACAATGTATCATGTTTTTTTTATTCAGACATTAAAACTTGTCTACATTTTTGTAGGAGTAACAAACTTTTCTCACGAGTTTCGATGACAACAATGAGAAAACACACGGTTCTGAAAAGATCTAAAGGAATGAGAACATGAGTCTATTCTGATACTGAACCCTTTAAACCAGTGTAATAATTCAGACAAATTCGATCTGAGATTCCACCCATCCTGAACTCAGTGTTTCTGCTTCCCACATTAGCTAATCGAGCCAGAACCCACCACACAAGATTCCCATATGTCCCTTCTGGATTTGTGGTCAACCATGTGCCACACCTATTGTACGTTTTCCAGTACAAACAAACCAGAGACGTTTAGTGTAAATCTGAATTTTCCACTTCTCTGCAGACAGATATTCAATACTCAGTGAGTTGTAAAGTTTTTAAGTTACTATTTCCGTGTCAACATTTATGTTACTTGAACTTTTTTTTTGACTATCCGTCATCATCAACTGTATTCCTCCCTATCATGGTTTGATTCATTGGAAGCATGACTCAAGCTGCTGTAACGCAGAAGAAGGAAGAGCGTTGCTGGATAAGTTTTAAATACAGAATCAAAATTAAAGACCAGCTACACGTAAAAGAGAATACTACAGATTTAATTTTTTGTATCTGCTTCATAGACTGTAACAACCTGTATCAGAGCATGGAAAATACCAGTGTTTCCTATGTGGTTAGACTTTTCTTAAAGAACCAGACAAATCATTTGCGGTGTCATATCCGTGCAACTATTACTCATGGTTTTACAAGAATGGCCGGTACCCACAAAAACAAGCGTGAGCCCCCACAGATGAGCACATTCAAACACATGTGCACRCCAGTGCTCTAATGGGTCAGTGTTTTTACAGCTGGCAGCAGACAAGAAGCCAGTGCAAACAGTGACATCTCTGTGGATGTGTATAGCCTGCGGTTATACATGCACCCGAACATAAGGCTGTCGCACACTCGACCACAAACATAAACTCAACTGTCTAGTGAAGGATTAACCCCTATTACTGACTAAAACAATAGGTGTTTKCATTTCAACTCGAGACATTTTCATTGTCCTGGAAAACCTGCAGAATTGCGATTTCACCAAAATACAGTAACGTCCTCCTACATTACCCAAAACTGTATTTGATCGTGCTCCAGATTTGTGAAATAGGGAGTGTATTTTCAGAGTGCTGTTTTCMCCATCTGTGTGACCACAGTTCTGGGCTGCTCTCCCTGCATCTTTCTGCCCTCTGTTCCCACGCCTCTTTTTGGACTAAATACATATTTAGTGAAATGCTAAGCACCAAATCATGKTTTTCCCCCCTTTTCAGTGCACGCTAAGCAACTACAAAGAAACATTTAATTTTGCTTTGTGTAAATTATGGGCMAACTCTACGTTTATTTCTCAGGTACATTTTACTGGTGGTGAAAGTTTCCTGGTTCACGTGTGAACGGATACTACCACTTAACCAACATTAGAACCCTTAGCAAAGTCAGTATAGTACTGTGAAACCCACATAAATCTGATGGAATTAAAAGTCATGCTCAAGAGTCAAATGGCCTGTGGATAATGGTTTACATCTCGCGCTCTTGCTTTAAGGACTTCAAAAAATATGAAAAAKGTCTGAGAGCAGTTTAAACGGCCTAGCAACCCTCAAATAAAGCTGCACTTGGAAAAATGTCCTGCCATCCGACCAGAGTTTAACAGACATCTGCATGCCAGCCAGGAAGATCAATGACTTTAGAGCTACTTAGCTGTCCATTAGCAAAGCTTCTAGTTTGCACTTAAATACACCCCGCAGTACAATCAGTACAAATTATACAAGGAAGAACTCACTCGTGTTTCCTTGAGAGGAGAAATGAATGACAAATGTGTTTTACTATAGTGCTATTGTGATCCAAGTTCAACCAGTACTTTGGAGCTATTTGAACACATGCAAAACTGACTAAATTGGTTCCAATGCACACGATACACGTGCGCGTGCGTGTGTGCGTAATGAATAAGATCCTGGCACATCACAGTGGAGTTCCTAATGCACTCTCAGTGGAACAGAAGAAATAAACAGATAGAAATGAAACAAATGTAAACTCAATGGTGTAGTTAAAAAAAAAGAAAAATGGTATGGGTGTGTGTGCGTGCGCGCGTGTGTGTGCGTGAGAGAGAAAAGGGGTGCGGGGTACCGTAAGCGAGACTGAGAAGGCAAGAGGAGAGGAGGGAGGGGAGGAAAACACAGTTTTCAGAATTGTTATTGGAGCCATAGAAGTCGTTTCTGACTTAAAGAGTTCCAGATGTGGGTCAGGCCCTTAAAAATTGGAAAGACAAAGCTGCATCAAGTGAAAAGGAGGAGGGAGTTAAATTAGATTACATTTCAACTGATCAGAAATCTACCCAGCTATTCTGATTTGAAAATGGAAAAAAAAAGGGCATTTATTTTTTTGCGAGGGGGAAGGGTCCGTCCACCGAGGAGGTTTCTGAAAGCCACTTTCAGGGTGTGGAGTGTCAGGTGGTAGAGGGGTGTGTGGCTTTCACAAACCAGCACTGGACCTATAAAAAAAACTAGGGTGGTCAGAAGAATAGCCTGTTGTTATTACGCACACACAGACACACATACAGAGGTCTTTWCAAAGCCAGAAACTGAACTCACCAACATAAGCCATTAAAAACCCAACCAAAAGACATCTGGTTAAATACAAAAGCTGCTCTTATRGTTATTTTGTATTGAAATAGCAACAACTCAAGCATATGGTAATAGTCATGTCTTGCGCTGCAATTGCCAGCTTTTTRGAGTCACTGAAAACTGATCAGAACCCAAAAAGTAAGTATGTATAAGTTTTTTTCCTTGTAAACACTTATATGCCACATTTGCACACAAAAAAAGTTGCTTCCTTTGATAAAGTCCTTCCACAGATCAGGCTTTGTCATTTCAGCCTTGAAACAGTGGCCATGCTCATTTTCTGTCTCTTTTGTTCATAATGCACACTGGTGTGTGTGCTTCTCCAGCATTTGTTTTCAATCCCTCTATAYTGGGCTAAGCTGCATGATCACACAACAAAAGACCATTGTGCTGCAGTAAAGAACTCTGCTCCAGGGAGCTGGTAGTAGGCCACAAACAAAGGCTCGTTACATTGTCCCAACACAAGCTCCTGAATCCACTGCCAACAGCCACGGAATGGGTATCCCTGGATTTGACCAAGAGGGATAGGCAAAAGATTTAAATCGATAAAACATGTTGGAGAAGTGAATAGACAGAAAGATGCACAGCTGGAGCCGGATGAGAGAAGTGAGAGATGCAAGAAGATGGGAGGTGGGCAAAAGGGATCGGGAGGAGAGGAGCACAGGATGAGGAAATGGAAGAAGGGAGTGCAAAACTGTGTGGACAAAAACATGTACATCCTGCTTTGGTTTTAAAAGACCTGTAGGAATGCACCTTGTAAAAAATAAATAAATAAATAGAAGAAATCAGAATCAAACTTGGTTGTCCAGCACAGAATCTAGCACTCATTCCTTCTTTTGTGAGCTAAAAAAGAAAATAGTCTCTGTGTTCATCATACAAGCCTGCACTGTTGTTGTTTTTTTATTCTGACAAGTCCAATTAGGAACAAATCAATCAAAATGCTCATTCACAAAAGCTGCCATTGTATCCAGGAAAAGGTTCACCTTTTCCACACAGAAACTGGGCCAGAATGGAAAGCAGTGACCAGAACACTGAAAGGAGATTTTGTGGGGCAGAAAAAAAGTCTGAACTTGATATGTATTAACAAAACAAAATCAWTTTTTTCTTCATATGAACAGTTTGTGTCCTTACATTACAACATTGTAAGCAAAATGTGTGAAAGGCTGGAGTTTGTTTATCTTTCAAAACAAAGTGACTGGGAGACCAATGGGAAAGTCCTTAAAAGAGGCTTTTGGGAAGGGAAACTTCACCATTTCGATAGGCTGCCAGTAGAAATTTATGCTACGGTTTGTTGACACAAGTATGCAGATAAAAATATTTTGTTTACATTGAGTGCAAACCCACAATTCAGGAWTCCACATCAAGATATCTGGAAAAAAATAAACTTTTTCAAGCAGCACATTTTATGTTTGATTTCAAACTTTGCAATGAGTTTAAAACTTGTTTACCATTGGCGTTCTTCCCGCAGATCAGGTGCTCGTAGTGCTGCAGGACTCCCCACAGCTCGGCGTCATTGTTCACCACCCACTCCAGGGCCTCTGCACTCACAGGGACGCAGCCTGACCCCGGGTCGAGCCCGGACTGACCCCTCTCCGCCATCAGCACCCGGACTCCAATCTCCTCCACCAGAGCCTCCATGCACGCGGTCAGGGAGATCGCCGCGTACTCGTGGATGCGCACGGAGATGCGGGTGTCCACCATCCAGCGGAAGAAGCGCCCCACGGAGAACGAGAGTCCACAGCGGGCGGACTTGCCCTTCCTGAGCAGCTCGCCTGAGCTCATGCAGTACATGGAGATGGCCTTGACCGTGGCAGAGACGCAGTGGTCGGCCAGCGCCCAGCTGAGCACCAGCCTCATGGCGCTCTGGACGTCAAAGCGCGTGCAGCGGCAGTGCATGACGCTGAGCCGCTGAGCCTCCCTGGAGATGCGGATGAGAGCCCGGCGGAGGAGCGCGGACAGACGCCTCGCAGCTTCCGGGGAGAACACAGGCGCGACCCCGCACTTGCCGCCCCCACTCTCGGCCACTTTGCGAAGTATCTTGGCTACGTCCTCCTCCGTCCAGGGGAACTCCTCCAGCTCAGGTAAGCGGTGGCACTTGGAGAAGATGTCCTCCGGGTCTTCGGGGAGGACGGTGTTGACTGTGTCCCAGCTGTTGTTCCTGCTGTTCATAGAGCCGGAGTAGTACCACCAGTTCCCCCGGTGAGGGGTCGTCATGAAGGCCTGGGAGTTGGACTTGGAGGAAGACAGGCTGAGGGATTTGCAGGAGTCCCCCGCCCCGTAGCCCGAGTCCAGAGTCAGGTCCTCCAGTGTTTTCATGTGGACATTGCTCAGACCAGCCATGGCGGAACCAAACGCTCCCACAGCCGGGGACACTTCACGGAAGAAACGGAGAAACCTCCTCAGAGCTTCACCTGGAAGCTGAAGAAACTTCGCGTGAAAGGCGGACGAACAGGTTTATACGGAGCCACGCTTCCCTGACATGTTCGTGACTCGAGTTCAAGCTCACAAAATATTAAGTACTGCTATCGCTAAGTCGGTATTAGACAACAAAATGTAGAAAAACTTGAGGGGACTCCGTCTCACCTTTCCTCCGAACCGTGCGGGAGTTTCAACTTTCCCCCAAAACAAGCGCCGCGTTTCAATACATATCAAAAGCCTCCCCACCGGTGTCTCAGTCCAGCCACACACAAGTCCGTGTGTAGACAATGTCCAAGTGTCGCTYGACAAACTGAGAAAGTTCGTAACGATGGCAGAGTCCGAGTTAACTGCTCCCCTCATCAGCGCTTCATCATCACCGACAGCCTRTAGAAGAGACTCCTACAGGAGCGTAAGGGGCGGGGCTTCGACTGAGTGACAACGCAGCGGCACCTCAACAACCAATCAAACTACTCTGAAACATTTTGTATGACAGTTGTTTAAATAAACATACCTGTCCTTGTATGGGACATAAAACCTTTGCAACCTGTGACCTACATTAGACAACACACAGACACAGACGAATGACACATGGCTAATGTAAACATATGGGCACAAATAGCAGCAAATAKAATTTGCTTGATTATGTTTTTAATTAAGAAATTCAATTCCAATTATTTACTTTAGTATAATTAGGCTAACTGGGCTGTTTAGTCACGCAGCAAGACTTGTTTGGTGTTTACTTTGGTTTAAATTTGTTTTGCTTTGAAGCTGTTTTGAAACTAATGACTCATTAAATGTTTAGCTTTTTATATTTTTTTACCAGAACTTTTATACTGAAATTTATTGTCTATGTGAACAGTTCATAGCCTAATTCATAAATTGTCTCAGCAGTGGGAATTCTCACTAAATGCTTCAATTTGGATTAATTGGTGGCTCTTTTGCTGAGTGTTGTAACATGCTCGGGTGAAATAAGAAAAACACGTTGAAGAGGCCTGTGCCTACCTGTTTCTAATCACTCTCACAGACAAGTTGGGCGTGTGCTGACTGGGACAAGGTCCAACATGATTGCATAATGGCAAAGAGCTCACAGTGCATGCCTGGACGGTGTCTGAGTTGATGGCTATCTTCTTGGCCAGCTTAAATTGAATTGGAAAAATGAATTTATTGAAACTGGAAAAACACATTTGAGAACAAATGAATATGCGCCTATCGGTCGATGAAGCATCAGGCAAGCTGTGGAGTGTTAAACTCTCCTGTCCTGTTAGCATCCTGTGATATGTACTGTTGATCAAGGCTTCTCCAGAGTGTGATCACAGAAAGTCAACACTTGCCTCATCCAGATGCTAACTGCGACAGCTCTTACGTCACGCTGCACCGACCTAAACAAAGCTGCAAAATCTTTGATAACACCAAAACACATCAGCTCTGAAGTTAACTGTGACACTTTACTTATTTTTTGTTTTTTTARATTGTTTTTAATCAGAACTAAAGAGTGTGAGGGGAGTTAGACATATAGATTATTATTCATGCATTATTTTAATTATTCAGTTGAGCCAGATGACAGTTTATCAAAACACACACACTGGGGGTTCCCGGGGTCTGGGCCTGGGCGCTGGGGTGTGTGCCGGCCTGGCCTGGTGACTGCCTGTTGGGGCTCGGGGCCTCTGGGCCTGTCGGGCTTTGGCCTGGAGGGGGTGCGCCCTGGGGGCTCTGGTCTTCCCCATGTCTGCCTCGTGTCTTGGGGGTTGGGTCTCGGTCCTCCACAGTCACTATTAAATATTCCATTGGAGAAATCTTGTATGTACACGCATGTTCACAACTGCTCACAAACAGGTGCTCTGATCCGGGGGGTTCTGACAGGTTACTGAGTGTGTATATATGTCTGTGTGTATATACGGACAATATTTATGAATGTAGGCATGTATGTATGTATATCTTTAAATATGTATGGGTATGTGTATATTTTTATATATGCCCTCTATGTATTTATCCATTTATTTTTCAGGTGAGCGGACAGATGTTGGGTGTGTGGTCCTGTGTTTTGTTGGTGTATATTTAATATACTTCTAATCGCTATTTCAGTCTTTCTATCTTTCTAATTACTTCTCTCTGTGTTTTTCTCTCTCTCTATTTTCTCTTCACAAAAAAAAGTCATAATGGTGTAGAGAGGATGGCTATAGGGGGAGAAGGGAGGCCATCCAAAAAAACAAAAAAAACAAAACACATTTTAACAAATTTCATAGATTTTGTACAACCTGATTTAGGTTTCCTAATACACCTAGCGGATCAAAAAGTGGCCCAAACTGATTCGTCTGAGTGTCAAGCTAAAAATAAAAGCAGCTATTTTGTAACCTTCAGCATCATATTAATCTATCAGAAGTTTTTATAATTCACATATCCTGATGACTGTAAGGTTAATCAGTTATAGATGTACWTTCAKTGAGTTCTTCCTAAAAGCTTCATTAAAATTTGCCTAGTGGTTCATGATAAATTTTGCTAACAGAGCTGACTCCAAATAGTGAATCTGTTGGCATGTGTTGAGGATTAATTTCAGTTACTACCACACCAAATCTTAGCCCAATATATGTCAAATCAACTGAGATTTAGTCGTTTTATGATTTTTTTAAAAGGTTTGTCGTGGCAGCCATCTTGAATGAAGTAGACTCAATTAAGCAATTAATGACATTTCATCAATTTTTTTTCACGAGATTCATGAAATACTTGATAATCACACAGAAACACAATTGTTTGCCTTCCCCTTACTGCAGGGGGCAATAATTGTCTCTCAAACCTCCAGAAAATAGTTTAAATTTTAAATGTCCTCAATTTGCTGGTGAAGTGATTGTTCTTGTTTGGAAGAAGCCATTAATAAATTCTGGATTTTTTTAATCTACAACCTGAAAAGATAATTTATTTTCTAAATGTGAGAATGTTGCCATGTTTTTCTGCATTTCAATCAACTTACATTTCCTTGCCTGATTAGTTTGTGTGCCTAACGTGGTTAGAGCTCCGCCATGTGGTGAGATGAGGAATGGGGTCATTTTCTTTGTMCTTATGAAGCTAACTTTAAGTCCCCCACCCCAAAATCAACACATGAAATAAATCCAGACCTAAGAATAAAATTTTATTTGCAAAAAATGACAAATCAAAATAAAAGTACAATATATTCTTAAAACCGTTCTTCTACAAAACAATTTCACAGAAATTACCTTGAAATGTATTTTTCTATTTTCATTTTTAATTCTATTATGTTTAGAGTCTTGTATTTATCGTGTTTCATTAAATAGTCCCATGTCACTGTTAAATAATGTACAGTATAGACATTTTTATCTGTAAAAGAAAAAAAAACAAGCTTGGAGAAATTTTTGACAATCAAATAGTCAATAAAAGATCTTTAGCTCTCATCATATATTTATATATATATCCTGCCCCTTCTACCCCACCAAAGAAAAGGAAGAAAAGAAGAAAAGCTGCTACTCATGRAACAGGAAACGTGTTACAAAAACAGAAGCATTAGAGTCGGGCTTTCAGCCAACATAACGGAGCAGGTGGGAGATCCTGCCGGACTGCAGCTGCTCCTGAATCTTCATCACACCTTCTGCTCCCTCTCAGTAGTCATTACCATGTAAACCTGTTCTTTTTCATTTCACCATGATACGAGACACACACTGACATGTCTATAAGTCGATAAAGAGAACAAAGTATTCCTCATTTTACAGTGTATTTAAACTTACAGTGACATTACACCTTGTTCATAAAAAACATTGTTTTTCTGTCTGTCCCTGCCCTCCTTTAGAGTAGATTACAAACTGCCTGAAGCCAAAACCAGGATAAAGGCACACATTTAGGAAACAACTGAGCATCACCACATTGTGTACTGGTCTCTTTTTTTTCTGTAGATCTTTAAACAGCCATGAAACACTCTGTTCACCGAGAATTAAACCAAAATTTGAACGTTTTTTTTCTCCACTTCTAAATGTTCCAGTGGAAGGTGAGGTTAGAGATAAAAAGGGAAATGAGAAGCCTTCAGTAGTTTTAAGATGTTCACAAATTTTGTTTTTGAACAAAAATAAAAGCCACCCCCCCTCCCCTTTTTACTGCACGATCTTTAAAATAGGATAAATTAAAGATTTCTTTAAAAACAGCAGCATGAACTCAGTTTGATTTAATTAACAAAAATAAATCCTTAAATACTAGCTAACAAATAATGTGTTTGAAAATACAATGTAAACAATCTTTCAAGAGATTTGAAAACAGTGTTACATCAAAATCGTTTGAGAAAGGCAGAATGAGATGCAAAAGGTGAAAAAATAGGACAGAAACAAATATTTAAAAAATATTTACGTTGATCCTTTTTCTCTGGAAAAAGACGAAGTCCAATTAAAAATAAGTTCTTATGTTTTTACGGAGATAATCAGCACCTCACTCATTCTGATTAAGGGTGTCCAACAGGAAGTTGGTGTTTTTGAAAACGCTGCTTTTCCAAACACAGCTCCTGTTTCGAGCTGTAACTGAATGTATCTGAATAACATGCCGATGCACATTCTATTACTCTTCTGCAAGAGCATGTTAGAAAAAGATCTTAGGTCATTTTTACATTGTCTTGTTAGAAAAAAAGGTGCTTCCTCTCATCATTAGCACATACACGCTCACATACATACTTATATATATATATATATAGACATACGCACACATACAAATGTGCATATGCACATAAAACAGCTGCTTTCCATTCTGTCTGAAAACAATTGCACCAAAAACAGACAGAGAGAAGGAGAACAAAAACAACTCTCTTCTTCCTGTGCAGTCGTTCAGTCACTGAGGCAAAGGGACGACTCAGGTCTGTCTGTGGAAACAGCCCCCCCTCCACAAATTTCTGATTCGGACWCAGTTCCGTCGCACAGACAAACAAACAGCAGGGCCTGACAGCAAAACAGAGGAGTCCCTGACAGGTGCCTGTTTAGAAAAGACAGAGTTCAGGCAGTGAGTGAGCTCCTACTGGTCTCTCCCGCACACAGTGAAGCTGCAGATCCATTTAGGACCCTTGGACCAAAAAGAAGTGCTATCCTTTTGGAGTTTTTTTGTTCTGAGCGTTCCACATGCCTCTTTTGGAGTGGTAGTAGTGAAAGAAGTTCCTCAAGCGCAATCTTTCAACTTCTAAGCCATTCTGCAAAACCCTGGAAGACAAACAGAGAAATGTTACAGTACTTAGGTTCAACAAGTTTCATTTTCTTTCTAGTCTATTGTACACTACACCTGTGTGCCTTCCAGACAGTTACTGAGATTTTGGATATTTTCTTCATTCCAATAAAAGTAATTTGAAATACCTTTAAAATGTAAGCTAAACAAACTCATTAAAGTATTGAAAGCATAAACGCATCACTGTGCCAGTTTGTCATTTTAAATAAAGTTTATTCTTGAGTTCAGTTCACTAACCTATCCAGCAGCTCCCAGTCCTCTCCACCCCAGCGGTCTTTGAATTCCTCTGTGTTCATTCCTCCAATCTTGTCAAAATCAGACTTATAAATTCCAAACAGACCAAAGCCATTTACTTCCCAGTAACCTAAAAGAAAAAAAGAAAGAAAGAAAAACATGAGTTAAATGTAAAGAAGTGTGAAACACAAAAGACAAAACTCCTAAAGTAGACATACCATGCTTGTAAATCCTACTTTTTCACATTTAAACCATTCAGTTGGGGAAAACAAGTGGAACTGCAATGCGTTGGTCTGAATTCCTCCTTATTGTAACTCCACAAGCCCCTCTTTTACCCYTTTTCTGAGGTGTGTCTCAAATCAACTCGTTTAGAGGCTGTCTCTTTAAATCCAAACAAGACGCTACACATCCTGCCACCCCCTCCAGCTTTCAGACCGTTCATTCCATCTTGATAGAGGAGTTTTCGTCTATCTAGCAGTGCAGAAATGTTTTATTTATAGATTAATTAAAAGGCGTCAACAACAGAAGACTTGTCCATCCAGCCTTACATGTTGGGGCCAGACTCTGACCCAGAGGAGAATGAAGACCTTATTCCTTTACAAATAATTTGACAAAATAGTTCAGAAAATGTCATAAAAATAGAGAAAACTGAACRGTTTGAAAAATATGAACCWAAAAGAAAATAAGGATATCTTTGCACCAACGGAAGAGACTAAATACAACTTTTCTGCACTCTTAGACACTCCAATTACACAACAAAATGCATTTAACGGCTAAAAAAGTGGATTTTGCGYGATATGTCCCCTTTAACATGCACTGGTTATTGTATTAGGAGATGCATGCACAAATGTTTGTTTCGTTACCATCAGGCTCCAGTGGTGAACTGCCACAGCTGAGCCTCATGACGATGGGAGCAAACGCGAGGCGTCCCTCCACGCAGTGCTTCCTGATGCTTTCCAAAATGTTAAGCGGGAAGTGGATGTGCAGATCACACAGAAACACAATACTGTGATTGTCCTGTAGTTAAAAAAACAACAACAAAAAACAGGCATTGCATTTGAATATTTTGTTTTCTCTGGTAACAGGAACTGTGTGAGGTAATCGAGTGTACAAGCTGTTTGAAAATGAATGGATGTTAACATGAGCCCCAATACAGGATTTTAGGATTAAAAAGTGGAGAGAAGTCTGAGCTCAGCATCAACACCAGGGGCTCATCTTCAGTTAAAGAGCCCGGAAGTCGTTTAGGCATGAGTGACAGCTTTGTCATCCCACACTGACAGCACTGACACTCAACTGACGGATCAACGTCTGTCCAGATTTTCAACCGCTCAGAGCCCCAAGAAGGCTGTGTGTGCATATTTGTGTGTGTGTGTAATGGAGAAACTGTCAGAGACTGAAGAWGGGCTGCATGCACACAAATAACCTGCCAAAAGGAGTGCACGTGGCAGGTATGGCATACACAAAACAGAGGATATGATGCTTTCTGTCTAAGTAATTCCCCATCATCCCGAGCTTTGCTCTGTGCAGAGGGGCAGGAAAAACTGGAGGGGAGTCAAAGATAAGGGTGATCTGCATCCTGAAGCAGACTAGCCCAGCAGTGATAGATTCATTACGCGTCACAGTTCTTTCCATCTGTCCATCAGACAGTAAAGGTCACGTGGTCAGTGAGTGTCTGACCTTCAGCAAGTTTTTTTTTCCCTGCCAGCTCACATGCTGTTGTGTTTTCTCCGTGTGTTTGTTTCCCTGACCTCAATGGTGTCCACTCCAATCTGCAGTCCTGCCGAGCGCTCAAAGTTCCCCTCCCTCCTGAGATACTCGTATCTGTCAAAACAAATCCGTACATAAAAATATCTCACCGTCACCCGGAGAATATCCCCAAATTTATTACTGCAAAGCTAATTAGAGCCTGAACGCACCGGGGCACTGTGCTCTCCTTAAGAGCCTGCTCCACGTCCATGTCTTCACTCTCAAAGTCGACAATGATGATGCTGAAGTTGTCATCTTTTGTCTGCTGGTGAAGGTTCTCCATGTCGGAGATAAACTGCTGCACCCAGCGAGCCTGGTTCTTCACTGAGCGGAGATTAAAAAACAAATGTTAATGTTTACTCACCAGTTGTGCTGGATGTTCTTTAGAGGTGAAAGCGTTTCGGACTGACCCGGCACCACAAAGTGCACCATGACATCTCTCCTCCACTGTAGCATGACCGGATGACAGAGGAGGGGCTTCGCGTAGATCGTGCTCCACGGTGTCGCTACCGAACGCGCCGAGGACCTGGTGGAAGGCGACGGAGGCTGTTGGGTGGTTAAGCCGGCCGTGGCCGCGGAGAGGGGAGGAGCCGGCGCCGATGCCGGGGCTGAGTCGGTGTTTTCTAGACTTTCTTCACCCTGCCGGCCGCGGTGAAGCAGCAGGTAAATGTATTCGGAAAGACGGACCACGCTGCGACCCCGCTCCATCAGCTCCAGCTCCACCAGGTAGCGGTTCCCTCTGGCCGAGTCCCGCCTCTTCTCGACGTTGATGATTCGCAGCAGAGTGTAGATCCTTCAGCAAAACATAACACAGAGAAGATGTATTAAAGCGGATTGTGTATTTTCCAGTTGCAATTACCTCAAATCTATACCACAATTAAGTAACAATGTTACATTCAGTTGGTATGAAAAAGCTGTATACAGCGGGTAAAATAAGTATTGAACACGTCATCATTTTCCTCAGTAAATATATTACTAGAGGTGCTAATGACATGAAATTTTCACCAGATGTCGGTAACAACCCAAGTGATCCATACATACAAAGAAATCAAACCATAAATGTCCAGAAATGAAGTTATTTGTAATAATGTGGAATGGCACAGGGAAAAAGTATTGAACACATGAAGAAAGGGAGGTATAAAAAGGCATGGAAAGCCAAGACACCAGCTGAACTAATGCACTGAACCACCATGGCCTGTATGCAGAGTTGTCCAAGAGTTGTCCAAGAGCCAGGGACCACTTGTGGAGAGCTTCAGAAAAACCTGAAAATTGGCAGTTACGTTTGTTTCAAAGAAAACAATAAGTAATGCACTGAACCACCATGGCCTGTATGCAGAGTTGTCCAAGAGTTGTCCAAGAGCCAGGGACCACTTGTGGAGAGCTTCAGAAAAACCTGAAAATTGGCAGTTACGTTTGTTT